GTGCTCTTAACCTCTGAGCCATCTCTCCAGCCCCCATGCCCAAGTTTTCTGTTCTTTTTTTCTCTATTGTCCCTACATGACAGGTTTATGTAAAAATCTATTCATGGAAGTAACAGGCCAAGTATGTCCACCAGGGCCAGGGTCCTAGGCACTGTGACTCTGGACTAACTCCTTCCATACCTTAGTTTCCCCATCTGGGGAGACCGCTGTGGGATAGCAGCTCTCATTGGAGGTGTGGGGAAGGCAATGGGACTTCTGGTCAAGGAAAATGAGAACTGGCAGCCAGGCATGGTGGCCCAGGCTTCTAATCCCAGCACTCAGGAGGCAGAGGCAGGAGGAATCTATGAGTTCCAGCCCAACCTGGTCTATTATGGCAAGTTCCAGTACCACCAGGGCTACAAGTGAGACTCTGATTAAAAAGCCCACTGAGAGAGACATCTGGTGTCTCTGTAACTACCTAGGCCTGTGGAGTCAGAGAACTCCAAAGCTGTGGGTTAGGGACACTGGTGTCATGCCCGGCACCAAGATCATACTCTGCTTGAAATCGGGTTCCAAAACTGAATAGCTGGTGAGCCCACAGTTGCCAAGGGCCTCTGAGCCCCAGTTCGTGGATCTGCAGAATGGGGAGGTGCAAATGTCCCCCTAGGGCCTTGGGAATGCTGACAGGCTGCTGCCTGCACAGTGCGTAGTGTGGAATGCTGGGCAAGTGTGGTGAGGGGTGCAGGGCATGAGAGGCCTTTCTTATTTCTTAACGGTTCCTCAAGCCACCCAGACTGAAACTTTGGCAAGGACGCTTCCCACTCACTCCCATCTCAGTGTCCCCAGCCTGGTAACTGAGCACCGCCTCCCTCTCTTGCCCCTTTGCGGGGGGGCAGGACTGGGCAGATCCACCCCAAACTGTGGAGGGCTGTTTTAGGGCCCATGGTTCTGCCAGGGAGGAGCCGTTCCTCAGCTAACTCTGCCATGATTCCTGCCCTGTATACTGAGGTCTGGATCCCCCATTCCTGTTCATTCACTTCTTCCTCCACAGGACTGACCCTCACAGAAAATGTGAGGGGTCCAACCATAGCGCCCCCAGCTTCTTCTGGCCCTCAGGTGGGAAGGGAAGGAAAACCCAGGGCAGACAGGTCGACTTGGGGCTTCTAGCCCAGAGCTCAGCTTGGCCACTGAGAGAGTTGCCAAAGGAGGCACCCCTCACCAGCCTACAATCTCAGCAAGTCCTTGAAATACCCCATCCTTACCCCACCCCCTTCACCCCCTGGCGACTTGTCGTGGCCCCAAGAACCCTCGCATGACAGGTCAACTGCACACAACTGTAAGATTCCCATAACTAATTACTGATCTCTGCCACGCACGCTTCGGCCTCTCAGAATCCTCCCAATGAATCTTGCTTTTCCATCTGCTTCAGGACGCAAGTTAGGTGGGGGAAAGCCCAGGACTGTCAGAGCTGGGCCAGGGCAGCCTGGGCCCAAGGCATACGTACACGGGCTAAAAGAGGGTGGGCAGGCTGGTCTGATGGGCAAGGGGTTTGAACAGGGTAGGGCTGCATAAGGTCTCCCCCATCTCCCTCCCTGGGTTCCCGCCCCCGCCCTCCCACGCACCTGCGCTGGCCTCCCCCCAAGCCCCGGGGCAGCACTGGGAGATCAGAGGACTCGGAGGAGTTGGGCTCAGGGGGATGGGGCGGGGAATTTCCCCCCACGCCTGCCTGGGCCTGCTCCCCTCCCCCTCCCCTGCCAGGTGGGGGGCACCGCTGGGGGAATTCCACCGCAGGCACGGCTCCGGAGAGCCTGGGCTGGGGTCCTAGGGAGTGAAAGAAATGGAAGCGGGAGAGGGGGCGGGCTGGAACAGGGGACACAGCTGCCTTCCTCCCCAGACACCAGCTGCCCCTGCCTGTCGCGGGCTGAGCGTCCACGATTCCTGCCTGTCTCCCGCGATCAGGGGCAGGGAGTGGCGCTTCCTTATTCAAGCCAGCGGCGGCGGGACCTGGGGAGAGAGGAGCGTGAGGACTCGGGGAAGATGTGCGTGTGAGCGTCTTACAATGAATGAGTGGATTGAACGGAGTGCCCGCGTGCACTTGAATCAGAGTGCCTGTGTCCATTTGACTCGGTGCAGCCGCGGGAGGGAGTCCTGTAACTCTCCTTTTAGGGTCCTCTGGAGGTCTGCTAAGCTGGCTGGCCTGTCCCCCTCCATACCCTCCCAATAGAACCCACGCTGACCCTGGAGGGGGGGAGAAAAAGGGGTGGGGCGGCACGTGTTGGGACGCTGGGGGTCCCGGGGGACAGGCGTGGGAGGCGTCTGGACCTGCTGTCTGCGCTCCAATCGCGGGCGGGGCTTCTAGTCTTGGGGGGGGGTGTGGGACAAGAGGGGAGGGACCTGTAGGGACACAAGCGGGGCAGGAGGCAGTGCTTTAGAGATCTGGGAGAGGGAGACTCAGGGTGCCAGGCACAGTTCGATGGGGTGGGTGTGGGGGCCCAGGCACAACCCAGAGCTACAAAGCCGATCCTGAGCTTATCCTCTGGCCAGATACTTCCCCCAGAGACCCCTGAGGAACGACAACCGGGCAGAGACCCCGGGAAGATATTTCCTGGTCCCGGACGGGCAGCGCAGACCAAAGTAAGACCAGGACAGACGATCAGAGGACAACGCCCCTCTCAGGTCACCTAGGAGACTCTAGAGCGACCCCGGGGGCGTCCCAGGCCGTGTTCTGGCCCCGGCAACATTTTTTTGGTTAGGGAAGATGAGGACACCGGTTCTGCAATGCCTCCTCTTCCTCTTCCCAATGCTGCTGCCGCCGCGTGGGGCCTCAGCAGGGAGCCTGCACAGTCCAGGTGAGTTTAGGCACAGCGGCCATGCCAAAGTCGCCGCTAGCTCCTGGGCTTCTGTGCCCAGAGCTGGGGCCCCCAAATTGGGGAGGCCGGGGAGCAGGTGGATGGAGCAGCTGAGCAGCCCGAAGGCCCCCTCGGGGGTGGGAACTGGGGAGTACTGGCTGGGGGCAGGCAGGAGCCCAGTGAGCGTCCAGACTTCTCCAAGATGCCACGGTTGCCGGGCAGGCCTGTCCGAATGCTTCCAGGTGAACGGCGCTGATTACCGCGGCCACCAGAACTACACGGGCCCGCGCGGGGCCGGACGCCCGTGTCTTTTCTGGGACCAGACGCAGCAGCACAGCTACAGCAGCGCCAGCGATCCTCAGGGCCGCTGGGGGCTGGGCGCACACAACTTCTGCAGGTGAGGAGCCGGGTGGAGTCGTCAGTAAGGCTGGACCAGGGGTGGCAGGAGGCGGGCCAGAGGGGAGGTCTGCTCTGGCCGGGTACAGTACCCTCAGGAAGACTTAGGGGCGGGGCCTATCTCATACTAGGTTCACCAGGTTCGCAAAAACTTGGATTTAAAGGTATGTCAGACTTAGGTGATAGTTTTCTGCAAAGCCTCCAGTCAGGGCCAGGACAAAAGGCTTACACCCTCAAGGGGCCCTTGGATGCCAGATCTGGTTGGACTTGAACCCTGGAATGATTGGACTGGCTCTTGTAGTATTTACTTGAGCAGCATCTACAACCCATCATGTGAGGAGTTCAAAGTCACAGCTTTCTTCTGGAGCATCAGTCAGGGGCTGAAAGGGGGCCACTTTCTGCCCAAGCACAAAGCCGAGGGCTTACCACCTGGACTTTTTTTACTTTTTTTTTTTTTAAGATTATTTATTTATTATGTATACAGTGTTCTGCCTGCGTGTCAG